TGCATAATTAACTCGATTGGATTGGCACAGAAACAAAATAATGTCTTTACGATAGGTTGTAAACCTCAACTCGTGTGCTAGTAATGATCGATAAGGTTTATTTGATTTGTTCTTGAAACTTTTCGAGACCATTAAGACTCCCACTGACTCCTTGACATATAAGATTCTTTTGTCAATAAACATTTCTTGACAAACAAATTTTCAAGAGTTAGTGTAGCTTGTATCAAAACACTTCATAAATTGGTCATAGTTGGTCTTTGTCTTATCCAAGACATCACAACTTTCCACATTTGATGAATGTTATAAACCTTTAATACTTTTTACTCATTGTCACAATCTTAACTTTAAGACTTGTTATTGGAACAAAGTATGATTGTCTTCTTGATTTGACCATTTCATCAATCTTTGATTCCTCTTCTTGGACATACAATTGTACCAAGACTCACTTAGAGGATCAATTGAGATATGGTTCTTAATCATTAAGACCTATCATAAAGCATAAAAGCCACTCTCCCTTCTTCTTAGAATGGAGAAACTCTTATCTTTCTGCCTACATGATTCTTCTTATTCGTTCTACTATTGATCTAAACCCTTTAATCAATTTAGAATTACACTTAATCTTGTAAGTATAATCATATTTACTAAGCCTTTTAGTAAATCATGACGAATATCTTTGTTATTCTTATGGTGAACTTGATCAACACACAACTTTGTGTACTCGATCTCCTAGTCCTTCACTTGACACATTGTCAATGAATTTGTCTAATTTCCAAATATGGAATTTCTCATTCATCATGCAACCAAGTTGCGTGATTCCAAATTTCTGTCCAATTGAAACTTGGGCGATGAGAAACTCTCCCTATTTGGTAAATTCTTGACTTTCCATAACATAATAAGAAACAAATCCATTATTGCTAATAATTTTAACATCAATTTTTCATACACGCCATTGTAAGGATAAATAAATAAAATTTAAAATCAAAATTTATTTTATTGCGGAAAAATTTGTCCTTCACAATGCAACTCTTTGAAAAACTTATGCGAATACATCTTTCTTAGCAATCTAATTCTAACTCTAAGTAGTAGCTCAAGAATCTAATCTTCGAGAAACGCAATCGAAATCCATTCCTTCATGGTTAGATTCTGCTCACTTCTTCCCTTAAGCTTCTTTTCTTTTCTTTGATCCTTCTAAACATCAAATGTAATCTTATCACATTATGTATTCAGAACCTAGAATGAAGCTTAAAAGAGTTAGTTAATGGATTTTACCTAAATTAGAGCCATACGTTTCGACTCTCCCATCTCTTAGATCTCTTAGGTAAATAGGGCAGCTTCGTATCCAATGCCCCTTCTCTTGGCAATAAAAGCAAATTGACTCTTTTGGAACAACACATGGAACTACTTCAGACATCGCCTTTCTCTTATGATCAAACTTTTCGATCATTGCATGTCTTTCATTGCCATTGTCTATATCCACAGAGGTGTCGAAGGCAGATTCACCAATCAACTTTGCTTTTCTATTGCGCCAAACCATTGCTGATTCAGCAGCAATAAGCATATAGGTGAGATCTATAAGGGTCACGTCGCGGTTCATCATATAGTACTCTCTTACGAACTCACTATATGAGTTAGGAAGTGATTGAAGAACCCAATCAACAGCCATCTCTTCACCGACAATGGATCCTATCATTCTTAGTCTATCAATGTGCGACTTCATCCCTAGGACGTGTGCACACACCGACTTTCCTTCTTTATGTTTACTTGCCAAAAGGGCTTGAGTGATATTGAACTTTTCAATTTTACAATCTTGTGGGTTAGGGAGAATAATTGGAGGAGGAGGAGGAAGTGAAGCATGATTTCTTGTTCCTCGATCGAATCGTGGAATATCATCTTCATGTGGAATGCTTGTTCCACGGGATTTGAGAAGACCATAGTTGTCGAACTTTGACATCGGGAGAAAAACGAATTCAAGTTAGTTGATTGATTGAGTCCTTGGTAAATCACCCAAATGAAATTCCAAGGCTAGGACCCAACACAATATCCTACAACTCGGGAGAGGGATGCCGTAACCCAAATGCAGAACATTTGAAGGTAAGTGAATGACGATTCACTAATTTCCACCATGAAAAACGAAAAGAAATTTAAGTTTTAAATCTATGAAAACTCCTAGATCCTTTGAGATTCATTGAACATTTCAATGGCATGTTTAAATCTCGATATGCCCCTCTTGTTTGTGACTGGGATGCCGAGGATCACAAAGCGGGTGTGAATAACCATGCAAACTACATGGTGCCCTCACATGTTACAATCACCTATTCGATGTGCCGGTAAACCACACACGCTCCACCGAACTATGACAAACATTGAGTCACCCTTTGCTACCTTTGCTTAGAACCATTTAGTGTGCCGGTAAACCACACACGCTCCACTAACGTCTTCGCAAGGGCACAAAGTGTAATTTCATGGAATTGCATCAATTCACTTTTGCCTAAGTAACTAAGATTGGGAATTTGAAAAACATTTAGTTACTTTGTATTTCATTATACTTATAATGGAAGGTTTCGTCCTATCCTACCCGTTCGGCTAACGACCCTCCACTGGTCAAGAGTGCGGTGGGTAAGAGTGGATACCCATTCAATCGCCATTTTATAGGCAATTTCCTTAAACACCCCTTATAGACCAGTTTCGTGAATGAGGCCTACTAACGGTAAGACTGACTTTTACTCATACATATATATAATGTTAGACTTTTAATCTTATATATATAGTATAGGGTGTATTTTATACTTTTAAAATACTATATGGTTAACTTTAACAATTACACTTTTAATTCAATTAAATGGTTAACCTAAACTTTTATGGATTTATTAAACCTCTTTTAATTATACTCCTTAATTAATTAATAAAACCATAAGGGTGTGATTTGAACTTTTCAAAACATTACTAGAGTTTTAGAATTTAACATTTCTAATTAAACTTTTTAACCAACTTTTAAATTCCAAAACTTGAGGGTAAGTTTTTGAAACATTTCAAACATTAGGGTTTTAACTATTTAAATTTCAAAACTTTTGGGGTTCAAATTTAAACTATAAAACCTAAAGGGATAAATTGAAACTATTTCACAAGATAATTCAAATCTAAATTACAAATAATCAAACTTTATCTAATAAAACAAGTGATTATCTAAATTTGACAATTATCTTCTATTTAGGTAAGGATAATAACATAATTCGGATTTTATCACAAAAACGAGTTTATGGTAATTATCCAAAACCAAAACAGGAAGAAAATCGCGAAAACGAGCTGTCAGACACTTTGACTCGTCGAGTCTGGGCTTGGACTCGTCGAGTCCAGCTGACTCGGCGAGTCAAACCTTCAAAACTCAAAAAATCGATTTTCAGTGCTTATTACGATTAAATATGCATCAATACAATTGAAACCAATCAAGGCTCTGATACCACTGTTGGGTTTTGGTCATAAGACATCCTATGTGCTCATACAAACCCTAATGCTTGGATCTAGGTTTCTCTATTGTACATGCTTTGAATCCAAGACTAAAAACCCTAATTCTAGCATGCAAGTAATCATATTAACATGTAATTAGGTTTAAGAACATACCTTGATTGTTATGTAGTAATAACAATCCCAATTCCTCCTTGTATTGACTTTGGAATGCATAGAGTCACAAGTGTCACTCCTCTAATGGCTCACAAACACCATAAGCAAATGGAGAAGGTATAAAGAGAGAAGTGAGAGGTTAGAATTCGTATCTAGGACCTCTTGGGAAGGGATACACGAATTCATGGCCCTAGGGGTGTTTATATAGGTGTAGAGATAGGGTTTCAGTCATTATCCTTATCTAGTTGATTATCCATTAAGCAACCAATAAGATAATCCTTGAATCCTTATCATACTCGAATTCTAAGGGATTTACACCTCAAATTCGTTCACCATATATATAAGATAATCCTTACCTTATTTTGTAACTATCACATAATTACAATTCAGCCCCTCTAGTTTAATTAATTACATTTGATCACAAAACTAATTCTTAATTAATTATTGACCAATATTAATTAAACAAATATGATTTCTCCTTTAATATATTATTCTTATAACATATTAATAAATCATATTATCCTCTCTCTCTTTATTCATTTCTCCAATCAAGTTGCTTTGGTGAAGGCAACCCAAAAGGACCATGCACCATCGGGTCAAGTACATACCAAAATAGTTATGAACTTAGACACTAATCCAACACATAGTTCCACTTTAGGCCATTACCATCATCATCGCCACCCATGTTCCCTCTTCACTAGTTTCACCCTACACCAACACCATCAAACCTACAACAAGAAACAAGCAAGAAAATCACCATTTATGACCCCTCTGCCCCAATTGTTTTTCTGATAATCACCATATGTATTCAAATTTGCTGATTTCACCAGATTTAAAAATATTCATAGTTGCTGATTTGAAAGAGGTTGCAAGAAACTTTATTCAAGATTTGGGTATGGATGATTTCTGATTCAGTCCATTCACGCCATCCAGAAGCAAAGCAAAGATCGGGATAGACCTGCACACACAATTGGAGCATTGATTGGGGGTGGGTCTCATTGAGGTGTATATGGGAATCGATTCAAAACCGGTAGCGATTCAGAAGGAGGATCGGCGACTTGGAAAAAGCAACAGAGACCGGCCAACGGAAAAGAAGAAACGACGCCCGACGAACACCGAAGAAGCATCGTCGATTCTTGTATGAAGACTAGGAATCGGCGTTTATTTTGGGAAGAGAAATAGCGTTAGGACGAACCGGTGTTTGGGATGTTTCTATTTTGTCATATTTTTGAAAAATAGAAAAATGGCAAAAATGTCAAGATACCCTAATCTCAAGTGGATAAATAAATTAATGCAGTGGAATTATCAGGACCCATAAGTTTACTGATAAAATTTATACAAAAACAAATTATAATGAGTAAATATGTAAAAAAGCCAAACTATGGTCATTAACCCTTATAACAAAGAACGCCTCTCAGTTGGTTCCGGATGACTTGTCTTGGGCTTACAGCCTTACACAAACAAAGAAGAGGATACAACACATATGAAATGTATGATAACGAACGATCAATTTCTTGGACAGTTGGCAGTGGTCCATAAACATTAAACAACGACCCCAAAACCAAAAATCCAATAGATAACTTCAAACTTCCCTCTACAATACACCTCCCACTCCCACAGTCCCACGGTGGGGAGCGCCTAATCTCATCTTAAACTATGGTGGTGGTTATGGACGTTTTATACCAGCCAACGAAGCCTTTAATCACGTCGTCTTCGCCTTCGCCTTCAATCTCCGACCGGAATTTCAACTATTATGCTCATGTATCCACTAGGTACCATCCGCTTCCGAGTACTAGCAGCAGCAGCTTCGGATTACATCGCATCACTTCTCAATTGGCCCCAAACTCATCCAAAACAGGTAGACTAAATTTATTACTTCAATTGGATATTAAATCTCCGCCATTTTTCTATAGATTAAACTCATTTTTTATTCCGTACGTTGTTTCTCTAGTTATTTATTTCTTTTCTTTTCCTTACACGAGTCGTAATGTTCGTAAGGATTAGATGCTAATGCTACCTCGCTTTTTCAATGGTATATGGTGCTTTGTTTGATTATTGATACCTCATGTCTGATGGAAGGCACATTCGAATTGCGAATTAGGTTTTGAATTCGGGTACTAGACTGCTAGTTGGGTTGTGTAATGTGTGTGGTGGTGATTAATTTCCAATGCGAGAACAATGTAATTATCTTAAATTATCATCCCATCATGAGTGGGGTCTCCCTGCCGCGTACGAATTTTAATAGTCAACAAAGATTTTATGTCCTACACGGATGTTCAACAGTTCAAGCTTTTGGACATCTTTTGGTGTAATAATTGAGTAAGTGTTCCTTTATTTTGCACAGTAGGAGTTGTTTAACGTCTTTTTGTAGGGTAAATAGATGTGATTTTTTTTCATTCCAGAACAACACAGACACACATTTAGTGTTTTTCATGTCAAATAGGTGATAGTGTTTTTCTTTAACCGGTTTCATAAACAGTGAAAACATTAAATCAATTTGACATGTTGGAATAATCCTTCGCAATTTTTTTGTAAATTAATTTTGGTTTCCAGAAAAAAAAAAATCAAAGGTTTTCCAAACAAGGCTTTAGACGTTTCTTTTTCCATGAGTACGCATAACTTGAAGAAAACTAAATGCTGTAATTAGTAGTCATTATCGTATAATGGCAACACACCATTTCTTTCTCATGGTTTTCCTCTTATCTTTAAAAGATATTATCAGTCTTATGGGTATTGTTATTGTTATTGTTATAGATGGAGGTTATGGATGTTCATGGATGCAAGACAACTCAACCTATAAGTCTATTATAGCCAACCATGAAAGGAGACATGGCCCATTACACTCAATGTTTCCATCTAGCCCTGCACAAGTTTCCTCTGTGGAAGATCTTTTTGAATTTATATGCTCAGGGCCCCTCATAGAAAAACTTGGATTCACTCCAGAAACAATAGCAGAGTCTATAGACAAGTGGTTGACAAATGGATTCCACGTGTGTGAATTGTTTAACCTCAATGAGTTATACCTTACAATACCCCAGAAAGCTAGAATTTATCACTACTATATCCCTGTCTTTTTGTGGTGCGAACAGCAGATTTCTGATCATAGGTCCACTTTTAAAGATGGAGATGATATCCCTCCTTTGGTGGTAAATGTTTAATCTTTTTTTTTTTAACAGTATAAAAAAATACTATTAATATACTCCACAAAAGGGATGTTTTTTTTGAAGTTATTAGGTGATGTCCTCTGTTGTTATGCAGATTGGCTTTAGTGCACCACAAGGTTGTGGGAAAACTACACTTGTCTTCGCTCTAGACTATCTTTTTTCAAAAACTGCAGGCAGGTAGAGTGCAGAGTAATGATATATTTTACTAAAATAACTATATTTTAATGGTTGTGAATTTATAATACAGAAAACTTTACAAAAATCACTGTAGTTTATCACTGTTTTGGTTGATCACCCAGATATATTTTTTTTATGATTTAACCACAAAAAAGTTTTTGCCACATAAGCAGTTCAATTAATAGAATGAATTAGCCACCCACATTTCAACATAGTATAATAGTATATGTTGGCCTTTCTTTTGTAACCACCCTAGTGCTTACAAAAGGAAAAGTCAACATAATCACAAGTTTCAACATGTGGGGCTGGTTACAAAAGAAATGCCAAAATATAGTGGGTTGAAATGTGGATAACCAATTCCTTTTGCTAATCAAATTGCTTTTGTAGTTAAACTGTAAAAAAAATAATAATAATAAATAAAAAAAAATTCTCTAGGTGGTTAAACTGAAAAAAAAAAAGTGACAAACTAGAGTGGTTTTTATATAATTTACCCTTTCTGGTAACCTTGAGGGATAAAACTCATAAAAGAATTTTCAACATGTTGTATGTATCAGGAAATGTGCAACTATTTCGATAGATGATTTTTATCTAACTTATGATGAACAGGTAAAGTAACTAACCACCTATTTTGTTCATCTTCTTTGGTTTTTTATTATCTAATGCAGTTTTAATTTCATTTTTAGGCTAAATTGAGAGAAAAAAATCCCAGCAATGCTCTTTTAGAGGTAGGGTTTCAAATTTAACTTATGCTTTTTCTGAAAGCAGAAAGTTGAACACATTAAAATTGGTCACAGTTTCGTGGAAATGCTGGAAGCCATGATCTTCCTTTGTCAATTGAAACACTAACTGCTGTTAGTAATTTGACTAAAGAAGGTGTGATTGAATCTTTTATCCAACTTTTTTTAATCTAATCACAAATTTTGAACTAAATTTTGATACAAAAAGTATGTCCAGGTATGAAGATGAAGCTGCCAAGATATGATAAAGTAAGCACACATCATAATTTCATACATTAATACATATCTCTCAAATGAACTCTAGTGGTTAAACCTCTTTAAGAAATTTAGGTACCTAAGTTGAACAAATTTGAAACTTGGTTAATATTTAATAATGTTAATCCATAATTCCACATGATTTTGAGATTCTTGTTGATGCAGTCTGCATACAATGGTAGAGGTGATAGAGCTGATCCTTCAACATGGCCTGAAGTTGAAGGACCTCTATCAGTAAGTGAAATCTTTTGGATTTTTTTTTTTTTCGTTTAGACATATTTTTATTTTAATTTTCTTATAATCTTTAATGTGCCTTTTGTCCTGTTTTGTGAATATTTAGGTAGTTTTGTTTGAGGGTTGGATGCTTGGTTTCAAGCCTCTTCCTGCTCAAGTGGTCAAAGCTGTCGATCCACAGGTCAACACACATCCAGATATTCATGTGTTTATATTATTACTTCTTTAAATCATTAATTTTTGCTGAAAATTCATTTGCAGCTAGAAATAGTGAACAAAAACCTAGAAGCTTATTATGATGCATGGGACAAGTTCATAAAATCATGGATTATCATCAAAATTAAAGACCCAAGCTGTGTATACCAATGGCGTTTACAGGTTTCATATCCTCCTTGATTGATTTTCTTATTTTATAGGCTTTATGATTCAAATATAATTTGTGAATTTGGGGAAATCTTATAGGCAGAGATTGGAATGAGGGAAGCTGGAAACCCAGGGATGACTGATGAGGAGGTTTTTTTTCATTATTTCAACATGTGCTAATAATATATGTTGGTTGCAATTTGCAAAGTAAGTAATGATTTGTTGTTTTTGTTGGAGTTACAGGTTATGGATTTTGTATCAAGATATTTGCCTGCATACAACGCATATCTCCCTACACTCTACACAGAAGGACCAAAAGGATCAGATTCTAATCATACACTTATTGTTGAAATTGATGAAGAAAGAAATCCAATCCTTGCTGGCTAGAGGCAACTAGTTACTTCCACCTATTCGTCTTTCAAAGTCTTTAATTTGTAGTATATTTAAGAAGCCTACATGCATTATTATAAATATTAGGCTACGATTCTTTATATACGATTTATATGTACCTTACCTAAAACTTATTATGCTACATATATACACACTGCTTAACAATTAATGTATATTACAACTTTTAACATTTCAATATCGTTGATACACAGCAAATAAAATGTGTTAAGATACATATATAGGTAGAAAAGATTGGTGTTTAAAAATAGACACGTGTAGAAAATGAATAGGAAACACGGTTTTAGAGTTTAGAAATAGTTATATGGGCTACTTGCAGCAGCAACAATCACCATCCAAACACCCATGACACATTTCCGGGCAGCAGCAACAGCAAAACATTGTGAAGAAACTGCATAAATAAATATTTATCAATTATGATTTCATCTTTATAACATATTTTCTGATTTGTCTTGGTTTTATACATATTTAATCATTTTACTTTTAAAAAGTGTCTCCCTTAGCTCATTATTTTTTGAATGAGCTTTAGGAATTTGGGCAACTTTTAAACCATTTTCCTTTTATCTTTTACAAGTTTAACCCTTTAGAGAGAACATATAATCCATATCGATCCATTTTTTTTTAAGTATATGGACTAGAGAAGCGAAGAACTTTATAGGAGATGAGATAAAAAGCAAAAAGGAATTCAGTTTAGAAAGTATACAAACCAGGCATATATGTAGCCCCTTTCGTCCTTTCGTTGTTGGATTTGTTGATGGGATGACATCACTTGTATCTTTGGTGCTTCTGACATCTCTTCTATGTGTGGATGTGGTTTTTTCTAAAACTAAAAGTAACAGAAAAGAAACAAAGCCAATGTGGATATATGGTAGTATAAAGAAGGGTATGCCTTGTATTTAATGAGGGTGGTGCATAGTTGGTGGTTATCAACCAACAATAGCCATAAGGTCCAGCCCCCAAGGCCCCAACCCAACACAAATGTAATTTAACAGCATGCAAAAGAGATCACATGGTAGCGTTGTGAAATCGTGATGTTAGTAATCAATCCATTTGTAGTTGAAGTTATTTAATGTGATTTAAGATAAAAGTTATTTTTTTTATTCCTTGATTTTCACAAATTAATGTCAGTCTTTTCAGTTACTTGATAATCATTTTTATTTATGTCTAATAACAAAGTAATAATATATTTGGATTCTAAATTAAGAATCGATATTTTGTTAATAAAAAAAAGTTAAACATCATTATTTGTCATCATCATTTGTTAATCAAAAAGTTAAATATTATTATTTGTTAATTAATATGTTGAAAAAAAAATTAAAAACAATTAATAATATAAATTTTAAATTGATTAATAGTCAATAGTTATAAAAAATATCAAATCGAAGATTAAGTTCTAACTAAAAATACATAAAAGTAACAGTTATACTACCTTGAAAGTAATAACTGGCATTAAAAAACATTATGGTCGAAATCAAAAAATAAAACTTAGTAGTTTTTGTAAATTAATTAACTATAACAATAATTAAAAATAACATTAAATAGAAAATAACTAACAATTATTCTGAGCAACAGTTAGATGAAAAGTAACGACAATTATTGTTTAAAATATCATGTGATTGAAAAAAGTCGTTGAAATAATATGATTCATCTAATAAATGAAAATATTTAAAAGAAAATATAATAACTTACCGGAAATCAAAAATATTAAATTTAGAGCAAAACGATCTTTATTGTGTCTTTGCTTGTGGACTCCGTAATAACTTAGAGATTGAAAGTTAAACCCTTTTACGACCATTTTCCTCCATTTCTTAAAGGGGTGTTCATTAGTTCATATCCAATGTTTTTAGATACAATCAGATCAATCCAATCATCAATTTGACATCAAATATTATCAACTGATCAAATATGATTAACTTTGGTCAACCAAAGTTAAGCGATTAGCCGATCAAATTGAACATTGAATTGCATCGGTTTCATGAAGGTCATATGTACTAACATGGGCATGCTCCATTTAGTCGTTGATGTTGCATGGTTTACCTCTCATGTGATGGCCATGGGATGGGTGTGGCATGGGTCATCAATAATAGTCACATTTGTTTTTCAATTATATGGCTAGTTTTTAATAAATAAGGATGCTTAAATATATCAAACAATACTAGAAATGGAAATAGACGGGTCAAACCGGTTTGACAACGAGTCAAAATATGTTTGGATGAATTGGATATAAGTTGTTTTCGGTCGAATTGATCCCAAGAGATTTTTACCATGTTTTTAGCAACCCTAATTATACATATATTAATTAAAGCTTATGTGGTATATAAGGCTCAAATGTTCGATAAAGAATTCAAGTTGAACTCATTATATGTTCATGATGATATGTTCATGATTATCATCAGAAGCCAATTAGTTTTGTGCTACAACCTGATAAAGTTCGACTTGAATGGGAGAAATAGGTTGCTTTGCCACTACAAAAAATGATAAAAGCCCACAAATATGGGAGGAAATGCGGGATATGGGTCGTTTTGGTACCAAAAAGCTTTTGCCTTTTAATTTTAGCCATGGATTTAATTTGCAAAACCAAAAGCATAAATCAAATAAGCAATTCATTGGATATAAATAAATGAGCAATTCTATTGGTAATCTGGTATAATAGTGGTATCTCATTGGATTTTGTTGAAACACTTGCATATGTATTCTATGTTATTTTAAGTTTTTGTACATATATCGTACTAAAATCATCTCATCCATCAAATCAAATACTAAAAAAATTATTAAAAATATAACTGAAAAGTGAGAAAAATACAGCATCTTCTTTAATTACCATATATTTATAGTCTTCTCTCCAACTTATCGCAACAAACATATTTTTTAAATGTGCTTATAAAAAACTGGTGACATGACATTTGTATACAAAAAGTGTAATATTTTCTTATAACACTTCATTTTCATTTTCTAATAGCATTGAAAATATAATAAATAAACATGAATTTTAAAATCTGAAAAAATTATATTGAATTCTTCAAAACATTGAATAATTATTTTGAACCTTATATGTGCTTATATGTATTTAGGGAAAATGACTTAAAAACCCAATAAAGTTTCCAAACCATTCAAAAAATCTCAATCATGTTTTGTCTGTTCAAAAAAACCCAACGAACTTAACTTTTTGTCTAAAAAGTCCAACAAAGTTCAAAACCTTTCAAAAAGTCCCAATTTTGTTTTGTTTAAGTTCATTGGGTTTTTTTTTGAACAATCAAAACACGATTTGAGTTTTTTAAACGTTTTGAAAACTCTATGGTCAAACAAGTCATTTTTCCGATATGGTAATAAGTCATTTTTCCGATATGGTCAAACAAGTCATCTATTTCTCTTATTTGACTTTCAGGAAAGTGTAACTTAGTTTGACTTTTAGACAAAATGTGAAGTTAAGGTTTTCTTGTACTGACAAAACATAATTTGAGTTTTTTTCACAGATAAAACATGATTTTGGTTTTTTGAACGGTTTCGTTGTGCTTTTTAATCATTTTCCCTATGTATTTATAAATAGTTGATTCAGAATAAATTAGATTGTTGTCGAATCAAACAATTAAACTTTTTTCAAATATGGTAACCCGTCATATGACATATCCCATGCGGGCAATTACATTAAATGTTTTTGCTTGTTCATGAAAACTCCCCACCAAAAAATTTATTGCATGGATCCGAAACAAAAACTCCATGTGTGATTACATATAATAAAGTTATATTCTATTCCTAAAAAACTTCCTCTACAAATATATTATATCTCCTAAATCAAACAGTCGTCAATCATCAAAGAATTCATGATGTTCGAAAGAGGCTACACCATAAAAATTAAAAAACCCATTACGAACGTAATTACAATCATGATTGCGGACAAAATAGACCAAGACTAGTCGGAGCTTTTCCTTAATCTTATTCGCCTACATGTTTCAACAAACATCCTGAAAAAGTACAACACAAAATGGTTTAATTAAATCTTCAAAGGGTACGTTTCAATTCTATACATGAGCTAAAACTAGTGTATACGTATATATTAATAAATATTCATATATGTACAATGTATATGCAAATTAACTTACTTCCATGGAACATCCCCGACTAACATCCAATCACCATCTTTATCTTCATACGTTGGAACATGATCCGACGTGTTTAAAGAATCTATCATGTTATTCTCATTGATCAATGCACGATTGCCTGGAACATTAATCAAATTAACATGTTAATATGTACTGTGAAATCAGAAATCCAAATCGGTAAATCGTTACACAATCAATAATAATGTGCAACAGCTGCCTATGTATATAAGTACCTACCAATGGCGAAGCAGGAAAACATGTCCTCGAAAACACAAAGAAGCTGTTGGTATCCTGTGTAGGATTTCAGGTCTACTTTTCTCAAATAAGGTACTCCATCAACAGCCACCTTTACATACTTGCAATTACTACTCTTCCTCACCGTATGCTTCCTATTATGGGATCTCACCGGTGGCCATCCAACCACTTCTCCCCTGTAACATTATCCAATTACTTCACCATAATCGATCCTTTCTGTAAATTAACATATCAAAGTGATTTATTACTTACTTCGACGGAGGTTTTCTCGAGTCCAAATCCGAGCATTCGCAATCGGATTCAATGGCCTCTTGTTCTCCACAGTTACCTAATTTCAAATCAACCACATCTGAAAACAGTCGTTTTGTTCCGGACTTCCTCTCTCGCGACTCCCCTGGTAACCCTAATGTGAGCTCTATTTCATCAAATTCGACACCGCTGCCTCCTCCGGTGACGGCGAATTCCGACGTTACGGATGACATTGCGCCGGAGAGACTCTTCAATGATCTGACTGAATACTGAGAAGTTTCGATTACCTTTACAGATATGAAAAATGCGAATGTTAAAAACTAAAACGCGTTGTCGTTGTAAAGGTGTTGAGCGTCGTGTTGATTATATAGTGGGAGAGGCAACAACCATAACCAATGGGAGATTACTACGTGTCATTTCATGAGTGGTTTACATGTTTACTGGCCAGTGCACCATGAAATCGTGGGGGTTATGTGGGCCCTTCAAGTTAAGTCTTGGTCTTAACATGGTCTCTTCGTTTTCTTGTCGGAAAATACTTTGTCTACAAGCAAAAGCAAAAAAAGAAAAAGTAATTAACAACGAGACCAATATTCAAATTTGTGATTTTTAACCTCTTTAATCATTATAAAAACTTAATCGACTTGAATTAAAAGTATGTAAATAGGAGCAGACTATTAAAATATATAAAATTTCAAATAATATCGTTATACAACTCCTTGATTCGTCGTTTACATTAAATATGGTGTGTGATAATCATCTATCATTCAGTTCAATTATAAGTTTTTTTTTTTAATTGTCATTTTGTAATATTCTTGAAATCTAGTTAAAATTGCATTTTAGATTTTGAAGTGTAAAAATTATGCAATATTTTTTTGTATGATAGAATATGTACTATGGAGATCATAAGACAATCACATCTTAACAACCTGCAACCACCGTTAGTCCATTACTCTCTCCATGATTAGTGTATATGCATAAACATAATATACTCGTTTTCTATTGATAATTATGTAAATTTGTTTAATTCCAATATATGTATGTTAGAGATTACATATTTTTAGTCTTAAAATTTGTTTTTCCTACTATCTTTAATATGAAGTCCTGTTATTTTTTATCAATTGATGGTTAAAACATTGGTACATGAGCTTAATCAAAAGAACAATAAATAAATCAACATACTTGATTCAAAATACATGATTATAAAATAATTTCAAACATAACATATAAAAGCTTCATGGATATATAGTGCCTTAATTGATCACCAATTTGTTCACTGACAAAATGATTAATCCTTTGTATGAAGTCGTGTAGGTCCAGAGACAAGCTTTGTGGCCATGTTTCATGTTTGTGTGCTGTTTAACAGCGGGGGCCATCCTTTTCCAGACCAAATGAACCCCGATACGTGCGCCTTCTAAGAAGAAACTTAAGACAACAATAAATATCGTTTTCATTCTAGCTTCGTTATGAAATATGTTGAAATAAGTTATAGTATTTTATTTTAAAAAAAGAAAAAGCAAAACAACTAAATAAAAAGACTAGATTGGATATTTGGATAACCCATAAAAAAACGATTACATCTCTTTGTAATTTGGAGAAATGCATGATAAATATTTCATCCACTCTATGTCCTTTATGTAATGGCTCAAATGAGACTATGGAGCATTTATTCTTTTCTTGTGCTTATGCAAGAGATGTTTGAAGGTGGCTTATTTGGATAGTCAGAAAAATACTTGTCGTCTTCTTGTCAGGGGCGGACGCAGGATTTCACAGTAAGAGTGAAAAAAATTAAAAAATTTCGATTTTTTTTTCACTGCGGTTGGAAAAATTAGAGGTTGTCGGTGCCACCGGTGACCCCTAAATCTGCCCCTGCTTCTTGCTTAGATCTAATGGTGAAGTTTAATTCGTTTAATGCGGGAAATTAATAATTTGAAGAAGGTGTTCTTGTCACTTGTTTACTCCACTCTTTGGGTGCTTTGGAAGGCAAGAAATGAGACAGGCTTCGGAAAGAAAAAAAAAAAGAAAAAAAAAAAGGCGAGTTTTTTTTAATGTGGCGGATGATATTAGCATTAGTAATTTTGGATTAAATGTAGATCCAATTTTTCTAAAATTGATTGGTTTGCTTGGTGTATGTCTCTTATTTCAAACTTTTCTTGTAATATGGCTTGAGTTTTTTGCTTAAGTCTTTTGTTTTCTAATGTTATTTTTTGCTCACCGTTCAAAAAAATAAAAATAAAAAACAATAAAGATACCATATTTTGAAGTTAGGACCATTTTTTCCAAATGAATATCGTCGTAAAATTGTTTTTTCTGACAAAATGAAGCTAATAGGCATACGTGGCAATCTAATCTTGCTAGGTTTTATTATTTCCACATTTTCATGTAGTTATTACAACGATGTAATCAGTGACTTGTAGTCTTCATTTGATACTCCAAAGATGTTAGACATATCATTTTCCCATGCGATGACAAACTTTATCCAATTTGTTCGGAACCAGAACAAATATGAGGTCTGATAGAGGCCAATTTGAGATGGATAATCTCCTAAGAACAAAAAGATGACATAAAGACCTTGGAGAAATTTTCTAATATCATTCGTAACCTCGAAAACAATTACATTGAATTAAATATGCATCAAAGTAACCTATATGCAATAACTAAACAGATAAATAAGAGAAAATAAATGGAAATTGTGACCTAGTACTACCTAGTGGGAAACAATATGCTAGTAAATAGACAAAATTACAAAAATAATCCCTATGGTTGGTAAAGTTTTGTGATTTTGATCCAATAAAGTTTGATGGTGCATTACTGGCCAAACTTTGGATCTTTTTAGTGTTTTTGGTCCTTATACAATTAAAATGACTATTATATCTTTTAAATTTGTATTTTTTATATTCACAATGGTGTTTTTAAATCATTAAAAATACTAAAAGTCTCTCTCTCTCTCTCTCTCTTCAAGAACACCCACCAGATGTTGCCCTTTTAAGAACACCCAACATATACCACCATTAAGGCTATAAACGAACAATGTTCAACGAAATATTCGTGAACTGTTTGCAGGGAAGTTCGTTTATTTAATAAATGAACGAATATGAATACAAATTCTCGTTCGTTTACTTAAACGAACGAACAAGAACAATGGTCTCGTTCGTTCGATTATGTTCGTGAACGTTCGTTTATGTTGTTCGTTTACGTTTGTGTATGTTCGTTTATATAAGTTCATTTTATGTTCATATATGCTTAATTGTGTTTGATTACATTACTATATTATATGTTTATTTATGTTCATATAGGTTCAATTATGTTTGTTTATATTTGTTTATTTATATTCGTTTGTTTATGTTCGTTTAGCATGTTCACGAACATAAACGAATGAAAATGAACAATGTAATTTGTTAAACGAACGAAAATGAACAAGAAAACTTGTTCGTTTTCCCGTTCGTGTTCGTTTATTTGTTCAACTAACTTAAACGAACGAACACGAACAAGAAAACCCGTTCGTGTTCGTTTATTTGTTCGACTAACTTAAATGAACGAACATGAACAAGCCTCTGTTTGTATTCGTTCGGTTCGTTTACATCCCTACCCACCATCGTCATTCACCACCACGATCTGTCTGCAACCATTATCGTTCGCTACCACCATTCGTGTGTCATCATCGCCATTTGCCACCACCATCCACTTGTTACCATCGTTGTGCTCGACCATCCTCTTAAGAACATACATACAACACACTCTTTCTTTCCCTCTCCTCCTGTCGTTAGTGCAATTCACCACTACCATTCGCCGCCAACCACCTTCATCTCCCCTACCCTCACCTCTCCATCATTAATCGGATAACCATTTGTAACGCCCGCATATTAGTGCTAGTCAATTTAGAGACAATAAGTGTTAAAAATAACTTTTTGATAAAAAAATTATTTAAAATAAATAATCTTAACCAAACTATAGTATATGTCACAGGGATTCCGTACATATAAAGAACGTTGAAATCCTATTTATAACGAAGAAGTTATGATACGTCAAAGTTTCATGATTAAACTGGCATGACTCTACGTAACGTAAAAAGTGAATTTTTGATAAATTGCTTTTTAGACTTGTTAATCTAAACTAAAGACATAGTATTCTTTAAACTGAGAGTGTGTATATAGAGAACGTCCAAATCTGACTTCGTTTGAGGAAGTTATGATTTTTCTAAGATTTGACATAACAATATCCAAGTCAGAAATTGAATTTTTGATCGGTCAATTTTTAGCCAAAATTATCTAAATGAGAATTGAATATATTATTAATATGAGTTAAACGATAAATGACAGTAAAAAACGGAGTGCGTATGTGTAACATCCAGATTTCCATGTATCATAATTTAAGTATTTGTTTTTGAGGTGAGAAGAGGGATTCGACGAGTTGACGCCTAAACTCATCGAGTAGGATCGCAACTGATGACTCAGATTATTGAATTAACTCAACGAGTTGGAGAGCCGACTCGACGAGTCCACGCAGTGGACAGAAACCCTAAATCTTTGGGCTTGTGCCCTATTTAAGGGTCCTTAAGGCCTTCATTTGCGGCCACTCATACCCTTGAGAGACACCATTCGAACCAGAGAGCATTTAGAGAGAGAGAGAGAGAGTGTGTGTGTGTGTGTGTGTGTGAAGGGGGGGGGAGAGCTAATTTCTTCACCTTAGAGCATTCTTGCAATGAAGAAGGAAGGGGTTCAAGCTAGGATGATTGAGGAGCTCAAATTTTCTATCACCTCATCAAAGGTTATTGTTTGAGGTATGAATCCATGCCTATTTTCTTGTATAAAGTAGATCTCATGAATCTAGGGTTTCTTTACCCCTTCTTTAGTTGGAACATGGAGCATGTAGAGTCCCATTGAGGAATAGATATTAGATCTGGACCTTGAGAGGTCCAGAGAGTCCCAATCATCTAACTTTATGCAGTCCCATTGGGTTTTGAGTCTAGGTTGTCATTTTAAGGGCTATTTCTTCAAATAGGGCTTGTTGTGTGGTGCATGGACGTAAAGATTGAACATTTACGTGACTTTTGGGTGCTAGAAGGCCAGACCTATAAGTTAGAGAAATAGATATGACCTCATAAGGTCAAATGAGTGTGGCCATGGAGGAAACTCGTCGAGTCCATAAGAGGACTCGACGAGTCGGATCGGGTTGTCTTGATTTCCGATTGATGAACAAGAAGGAAAATGGAATTCTTGGATTTTCTGACTCGCCCCCTGCTACGTGTCCTTTGGACCATTCGCCCGCCCGCCACCAGTGGAAGCAAGCACCTTGAAGGGAATTTCCATCGCGAAGGATTCAATCCAACCACAGGTTCCCCTATGACTACCTTGTTACGACTTCACCCTAGTCAAAGACCCCACTGTGGTATGCGCCAATAAGACCACCAAACGCCTTTGTGGCACTGGTGGTATACAGAAGTCATGGGTGATCATTGGTGATGATATAAACATGATGATAACCAGGTGATGATAAATAGGTGATGATGTGAGGGGTTGCCATAATCTTGACCTGCGATGTAGTCATCTACCAGAGTATAGAAGGTGACCACGAACTATTGCTCATAACCTATAGGTGATGAGTTACGAGTTCAGGCGATGTTGTAACTATGTATTCATGCGATGATACCCCTTACTATGAATTACGAGTTCAGACGATGTTGTAACTACGTATTCACGCGATGATACTCTAACCCTTACTAGACGCATATTGAGTGAGTAATCCATGAATCAGTAGCTGAGAAGGGGGGGGGGGTGACAAAGGTAGAGTAATACGTAGGAGGGGGAAGCGGGGAGGGTGGGTTCATGTTTGTATATATATATTTTTTCTAAAAATAATAAACAAATTAAAAGAAATTTGAAAAAGAAATAAATAAGGGTAAATGGTCTTTTTATGTCCAGAGGGACGAAACGTACAAGATTTAAACGAACGAAGGACCCTCCGAGTTAATTTTTAAAAATAAAAAATAAATATGTTTTCTAGCATGTGCAGAAAGGACGAACGGTGTAATTTACGAGTCTTTTAGGTTTAAAACGTAACAAATCCACATAAAGAGTGTGTTTGAGATTCATTTTTTTAAGTTAAAAGTACTTTTGTTAAAATGAGTTTCTCTAAAAGATTTTTTTATAAAAAAAGGTATTTAAAATGTGTTTGGGTTAACTTTTAAGAAATAAAAATCAAAATGTCATTGTTAAAAATTGATTTAAAAGAATTTTTTATTTTACCAAACAATTTTTGGACTTTTAAAATTGTTTTAAAAGAAAAGCCAAACAACCTCAAAATCTTTAAAATAAGTGCGGACTCACTCCTCCCGCCTGCCACTCTTAACAATTTCGAATCCCTATCAACTCTCCTCTCTAGGGTTTTAATTTATTCACGAAAATGCAACGATGAATCAAACGCAGAGCTTCAATCTTGTCGATCCATTTGAAGAACAGTCTGTTCTCTCGCTAAATCCTCGAACAATTCGACTTTCAACAGATGCGTTGAAATCCAAAGACCTCGAAGCTGTTCACCAGTATATGAAATCAATGGTGAATTTTTCGATTATTTACAACTTTTTTTTGTACAGTTTAATCATTCAGCAGTTCTGATTTATGCTAATTACTGTGTGGGAGCACAGTACTTCTGCCTAGGTTTTTGTTTCGATTTTTTTGATTTTTGAGTAACTAGATTTGACTGTGTTACTTTCACAATAATAACTTCTGAGAATAAGCAAACATATAGACGAAGTTGATCATCTGGATCTGCTGATCATCAGGACGCGGTTTATACGAATTTCACACAATGTCCTAATTATGTGTCTATGTCATGGGGAGTTGTGTCGGAACCCGTGTGATGGTTTAAAAGTGCTTCATCTTCTTAGATACAAATTATGCATGCCAAAATTGTAGTGCATTTTGATTACCTGGAGCTGTAAATCTCCGTAACATCTTACATACAGATTATGCTTGTGGATTTCTATTTATTTCTGTTTAAACATTTTCAGAAGCAACAATCTTTGGAAGCATTTTAACTAAGTTCTCCTACCGTTTGCATAAAGTCTTTAAGCTGACATTTTGGTGTCAAATGAATGCTTTTTAACCTACAATTGACAAAAATAATCTACTTTGAGTTATTTGGGAATTTCTGAGCCAATTCTCACTGGCCTGGCATATTTTTGAAACAAAATATAAATCCAATTTGCTCTGGAGAGAGTATTGATTATTACAAGTGTGTTCACATTCAATTGCTGTAGGGTGTACAATGTGTCATGCAGATTACTACGTGATCTAAATTTGTTATTGTCTCTTCATTGTTTAAGGCATTACAAAGCCCTGATAAGCATTTTGAGAAAGCAAAGTCGGTTGTAGATAGTGGTTTAGAATTCCTCAAAACCAAGAAAAGTGAAGTTGATATAAATGAGAAGGCAAACCCTCAACAACACAGACCAGGTTTGGTCCGGAGGCGTGCAAAGTTCTCTTTGAAGCCTGATACAAGGTAAAGTTTATTATACATACTACTTTCTTGTGTGTTCCACATAAACATTTAGTCCAGAAACCTGGAGTTTTAGCTTAACACACATCACTGTTAACAGCCAGTCTTCTACAATCCTGGAGCCAAGTCTTGAAATTGATCATCTGCAGGAACCAGAAGAATTTTTTGCAGCCTTTGAAAAGTTTGAAAGTACATTGTTCTTCTCTAATCTTTGTGTTTCAGTATTCATGATGTTTGTTGATATCAATCATATCATATCACACAAGTGACTTATACCAAGTTAAAATTGATTTACAGACACCAAGAAAGAGCTCAAGAAACAGAGAGGAGGTGAAGATGTAGATGAGGTTAAAACTGCCACTACTGTTAGGCATCGTCGTCCAGAAATACCTAGGTATTGTTGATATGTTTTTTACCTAGTAATCTCTCATGGACTAACCTTGAGCTCATATTTCAGGAGAAAAGTTAGTTATAAGCATTATGAATACTCCAGTCAGTCTCAAGATGATTCATCAGTTGCTCAAGAGACATTGCAAGATAACATTGGAAGTCAACCTACTCAGTCTTTACAACAAGAATCTTTCACCCCCAATCCGCAATGTGAGGAAGAGGAAGTAACTGGTAAGTTGATGCTTTTAAGCTTAATAATTATACAGTATACAAAGAATCTTTAGGATCATGATGTGCTTGACATAGTGGAAGAAATAAAAAAGTTACTTGGCCAAAAGTTTTATTTAAATGATCAATAATCACAGACTCTTAATATACCATGTAACTTACTAGATTTGTGTGTTTTGTGTGAACAGGATCAATAAGTAAAAGCGAAAACAAGGTCCAGGAGCTCTTTGATGAATTATTGGCTAGTAATATTCACAATTTAGATGGAAATGAGGCATTATCCTTTTTAAAAGATCGTCTGAAGATTAAATCTGTTGATATAGACGAATTACAACTTCCAGACTTTCATGAAATTCCTAGAATCGACTTTATTTCTCCAGTGAAGAATCTAGTAGAAAACTCTCAGAGCATATTGAGTAATACACAAGCTTTGCCAGATGTTAGAAAAGGGAAAACACTTGCTGCACAAATAGGATTATCTAACAACCATTTCCAATCTCTAGGAGGCTCCCCCACGCCACCTAGGAGTCCATTTTCAGCAATTGCTACACTTGGAAAAAAAATGCTGAAATCAATTGTATCAAAGGATCCATTCTCCTCACATGATCTTGATTCACCTCCCATATCTTCTACTAAAATCATTGGTGGAGGCTCAAGTCATGCCACATTGGACTCGTTAGCAAAAGAGAATATTACAGAAACTGCCACTGGTGATATGGAAGACATGGACTATAATATGGAAGAAAAGGATGCAGATGACAATGTAACCGATATTCCAACAAACAAAGACATAAATGGAAATGTAAGGTTTTCTTATATATATATTTTTTCATAGTTTAGAAGTAAGTCTGAATGCAATTGGTTATGATATATATGATGCAGGCTGCAGATATGATGCAAGAAACAGCATCTGTTACAGAAGTTAATTTAAATGTTGAGGACATTACTGAGGAGAATGTAAGTTCTGTTTAAAAATTGCTTTACAGATTACAACAAGTTTTTAAAAATTTAAAGAATGTTATAACGAATGTCTCATTCATTGACATAACAGGTTGAAGATATGACAGAGAAAGCAGGAGCATCATCTTTACCAGAAGTAAATGTTGAGGTCTCTGAAGTGGAGGATTTGAGTCAACCAGGTTTATGTTGTTTGAACCTTTTCCCTTGTTAATTGTATGCTTTCTATAATGCTGAATTTATCATATTATTATTATATGAAGTTACTTTATCATCTGAATGTGAAGAATAGTTTTCTCATATATAGATTTGAAATGTGATAGATTTTGAAAAGGAAACAAGATTTTTTTTACAAAATACTGGATATCAAATTCATTTTCATTCCATTCCAAATCCTATTAGTTCATGATAAGTAACTTTTAGTTTGTGCATCATCTGTTATGCTTAGTTTGCTTTTGGGATTGCAATTTTTAGCCTTTTCTAGAATATTACTTTGGAGCAATGTCTTGACATATTGATTTTGATGCCTTTTCAGCTCAAACAGATGCCAACTCTATTCAGGACCTGGATGTTATTGTTAGCACACCCACTCAAATTCCGGATATTCTTCCTCAACAGCAAAATGAGGTTGTCAGTCAATGTCCTTCCACTTTATTTCTTTTATAAAAATATATTGACAGCTGTAAAGTCAAAAAATTCCATGTTATGAATTATGAGTAACACTAACAGTCTTTAAAAAATATATATTATAAATAGGAGGAGCATCCAATTCCAAGGACAAGAACGAATAAGAGAAAGAAGATAGCAGCACGTAAGAGTAAGATTGATCCGAAAAAGCGTCGCCAGAGCCTTGCAGGTTTCTTCATCTGTTCCTTGTTAAAAATTATGAATCAAACATATTTATTTATTTATTTATTTATGATATAATGGGGATGATTATGATAGGAGCGGGGTCTTCTTGGACATCTGGAGTGAGACGAAGCAGCAGAATTAAAAGGAGGCCTTTGGAATATTGGAAAGGAGAAAGACTCTTATATGCTCGAGTCCATAACAGTAAGTGCACACTTACACTTACACTTGTCCTTCATTTTTAACATATCTTACTTCATATCACTTGACAATTACAATTTATATATATATATTATGGAATGAGGTGGCAATTTTATGTGAAAAAATGTGGATGGGTTGGTTGCAGGCCTGCCTACAGTTATTGGTGTGAAATATTTATCTCCAACAGGTAAGGAGGAGGGTGGATTCAAGGTGGAATCTTTTGTCTCCGACAAATACAAACACCTTGTTGAGTTGACCGCTATGCATTGACTTTCACCCACTTTCCCCAACTCTCAATTACCCTAAATTTGGTTGGAACAAATGATCAGATTTCAAGCAAAATTTTCAAAACCTGCCTTAGTAATCAGTATGTGAAAAGTGATATGTACTCTGAAAATGTAGTTTCATATGGCTTGTGAAACAAAAACCCAGGTATCCACTAGTTAAAATAACATGTAGCTACCCACCTGTAAGGCTGTAGTCACTCATTTTCACATTTATATATATAATCTTCAACATTTATCTTTATGTGTATATGTATCATTTATCATGTATGTGTGTAGTTTGTTTCTTGCTTATAATTTTTTTTTTTCATTTTCTTTCTAATTTTTTTGTTTTTAAAGTTTGAAGTTACATTGTTCAATATTCATATTTTTCAAACTAATAAAATCACAAGCTTTGTCTGGTTTGGAACCAAACTGGAACTGGAGTGGGTTTAGTATGGTTCGGTTTTTAGGGTGTCTTGTAACATGCCATATCTGATCCAGTTACCAATAAAATCGTGGATATGTATGTTACTGCAAGTTTTAGAGTTGTTTTGGAATCTGAATGTAAAATTAAGCAGAAACCCTAATATACATGTTACAAGAGTTTGCCACATATAATCTTGGATAGACAAGTTTACTTAAACAACATAAAAAAGATATAAAAATCAAAGCGTGCTAGAACTTTAATATTTGTCAACCATCAACTTTGGCCTAGTGATAACTGAAACATTCCAAAATGTCTATCATTTATTTTTTTCTAAAGCATGTACAGTACAAATATTTGCTACTAGTATAGTACCAATTGATTATTGTGTATATAAACTTTTTAATATATATTTTTTTATTGTTAAAGACCTCTAATGACATGGAATACTTTTGTTGATTAGTAAAAAAATTTGTACAAGTGATTATTTTAGTTTACTAATGAATTCTATTGAAATAATTTTCTATCTTTTTAATTGACCATAGGAATAACGATCGACTAATGCAACTAAACGGTTATTTCCATGATTATACCCATTCATTTAAGATTGTAATCATTAAACACATTTCATATTTAACATTTGAAATATACTAGAAGTTGCCCTGCTTATGATAAGGTCATTGGTATTATTTAATCAGATTTTTTATGTGGTGGCACCAACTATATAGTTTGGTCTTAGCATACATATATATTGGTATTAATATAATAAAGGTTATATTGTCTTGTTTTAGATATGGGTTGGGAAAAAGAAAAAAACGTGATTAAATCACCAAACTCAAAATAGATGTTCTTTAACTAAATTGAGCTTCATAAGACATGATTGTAATGGCACCTACCTTCTTTGGAACTCAAAAGCCGAGATAAATTTGCGGGGTACAAGTCATCAATCAGCAAGCAATTAAAAAGAAAATACAAGACTAATAATAAAAAACCAATTTGCACAATGTACCAGACACATTCAACCCATCTCTGCTCTATCTAATAGCAGCATTTACGACTCCAGATTTTGGCCTCAACTTAATCCTAAATAAAGTTATTCATTCTCCCAAATGTCTATCAAAAGACAACAACAAAATGGATACTGTATAACAGCTTTTACATAAAGATACTACTATCATATATGATTTTGCCCTACAAGATCCAACATAAAAACATGATACTTTTTTTTACCTTATTACTCGTCCGATGCTTTTGGGGAATTTTCCGGCGTCTTGAGCACCGCAGCAGCAGCACCACCACCACCACCACCACCGGTGTTTCCTTTGTGTTCGTTCACAACCTCACGGAACTCATCAACAATAGCTGGATCTTTAAACTTCAACGCAAACGTGGAAAGACCATTTTGCCCCTCACCCGTACTATTCAAACACGCAAACGTGATTCCTTTCTTCTCCATATTTGTGAGCTTCATATCGGGAAAAATACTCGCGTTCAAAATCAACCGATAATTCCCGCGTGCCCTCATCACAAGTCTTGCTTTTTTCGTCCCTGTGGTCAAAACATTGACTTTAAGTTCCCCTTTCCCACGCTCTTTCCACCCGCCATCAAGAAACTCAAACAGAACAGAATCCGCAGTGAAAACCGCCTTCTCGTTTTCTTCACCGGTTTCCACATGGACTTCCTGCATAGTTGGAATTTTAATTCCGGAAGGCTTGTCAGATGTTCCGGAAGGTGTCCCAAACAAAGACGAATTCCCATTTGTTCCAAAACCGAACGAAGGAAAAGTCGGGGAGTCGGTTTTCGGAATCGAACCGAAAGAAAACGTCGAACTCGAGAATCCCGTCCCCACAAGCCCCGTGAACGCGTTTTGGCTACTCGAAAGCTGTTGGAATGAGTTAACAGATGCAGTAAGGGTACTTTCGTCATTTCCCAACTTTTCATCTTTTTTGGGTTCAGGATCGGTTGGTTCGGGTTTTCTCACCTCACTTGCACCTTCGGGTTCTGTTTCCTTATTCACACTACTTGGTGACTCAACCTCTTCGGGAGCTGTTTTCCCAGGTTCTTGGAGATTATCGGGGGATGTTTTGTCGGGTTCTTGGGGATTAGTGGGGGTGGGGTCCGGAGGGGGTACGAGGCGGATTGCTGCAAAAGGATTGGTGGAAGGGGTAGAGGAAGGTTGAGTACGGCGGACTTTTACGATTCTTCGGTTTGCGATGACTTCTTCGCTTGCTCTTTTGAAAGTAGCGTTTTCTTGTCCGGAAACTTCTTCTTCGTCATCGAGACCGGGGTTATCACGGGATAATTCCCGTCCGGCTGCTCGTTTTTTGGAAGGTGGAATTGAATTGTCTGTGTCCCCCATCACGTGATTTTATGTTCCTTCCTACTGGATTGAAGTAAGATTCTGATTCTGCAAGATGAATATAAAGAAATGGTTGTATTAAAAGAGAATTGCATTTAATGTAAATAAAATTGAAAATCTAGTTCCAACAATAAGCTAATTAGTACTAAACAAGTATTAACTTCTGGATTTAAGTCACCATGGAAAGCCTCCAAAGTTGATCATGTTTTCCAAGATATTGAGCTTTTATGGTGCTAATACTTAATCTTTGATACACCAGGGGGTTAATTAACTTTCAAAACCACTGAATCACTAGACCCTCATTGGTGCAAAAACAAATTCCAATAAGAAGATGTTCTACTCTAGTAGCATGTGCAAACTACAAGTAGAAACCATATGAAATGATACAACATATAAATCTACCAATAATGCTAATACGAATATCCTCATAATTATGTTAACTGTGGAAATTCGATCAGAATCTTGTTCTTGAACAGAATAAGCACCCAACCACAAGTTTATAATCGCATTTGTGTTTACTTTTCAACAGTAACTAAAGAATCTCATAAAAATATGGTCATTACAATTTTAAATCGTTAAAGTAAACCTCCTGAAGCTAATCAAAATAGGCGAAACTTAGAGACCTTGACCTAATATCAAAAAGGTTTTGTCTTGTAGTGACATGTCATTCAAATACCTATTTATAAAAACACATACCAGCCAATTGCTACATTTAACAACAAAAGAAGACTGTCCTTTTCCTCGTTTTCTAAAGCTGATGGTCATTTATAAAAACACATACCACACAGATTTACAAATGTGTTTGTGCCTCTCTTCCATAGCAAATTAGCAATTATAGAATCTCTTGAAGGTTTTAAGCCATTAATGAAAGCCCAACGAAATCAACATGAAAGCACAATCTGAACACCATAACCTAACTTTGCAGGGTCCTCTTTAGATAAATTATCGTCGAACTATCCAATATTTTAGAAGGAAAAAAACCAAAATAAACAACAACTCGTGCACTAGGGCAAAACATACCATCAAATGCGTAAATAACAAACTACACAAAAACAAAATTACCATGATAACAAAGATTGACAACATTTTCTGCATAATACGACACAATACAACAAATCTAACTCGAATAATATACACTAATCCATCAGAAAAACAACCACGTCCAACGATTCCAAAATCTATAGACGGTAATGGTACGGAAAATGAACAACAAAGAAGTAAACAATAGAGGACGAACGATAATGGAGAAGACGAAGACAAATCGGTACCTTGGAGGTGTTGGGAGGTTGCGTTATCACGGTTGTGTCGCCGTTCCTTTGGGTCGGTATATGAACCCTAGATTGACGAACAAAATGTTCTGCCACGGTGATCAATCATCCTAGCCTTTTTCGATTCCTCCTAATGCTATTTATATATATTTTTGAATTAAAGGACAGCAGAAAATGAGTAAACTTGATCCAACGCCCCTATGGTTAGATTGGATTTCATATAAGTGTACATATTTTTGCGAAAATGGTATATTAACCCCATAATTGTTAAATTTAAAATGGAATAAATTATTTAATAGAATTAATAAGATAATTGCAATCATAATCCTTGTACTTAATCACTAAAAATTCAATTTTACAACTCCAAAAGGTAATAATTAAATAACTATTTATATCACATAGCATCCAAACATCCTATATGTTGTTATTTTTATGCTTTTAGCAAATATAGTAATGATACTTTAATGCAATTATTAAAAACCTTATTTACCTAATTTTCCGACGTTCAGAATTAGATGTAGGATATATTTTTCAGACATAAGCCCATGTGTGCTATCTTACCTTATTTGAGTTTGGCAATTACAAATAATGTATGGGACCTTTTTACCTAATTTTTTAATTTTTAATTATTGTATTTTATAATTTTATAAAACATAAATTGTTGTGAATGAAAAAAAAAAAAATTAAATAAACATAAATTATATTTCTTGTACGTTTACGTTAAAATCATGAATTGAGTCTCAGTATTTCTTGTCGATTTAATTTATATATTTTCAATTATCTAAATTAACTATTTAACACTCACTCTCACATCATCAAAATAAAACAATTTTGTTTATGTAAAAATACTTTGTGACCCCCTCTCTTTATGTAATTTATACTATTTGTATTCAATGTTATTATATGGAGAGGACTCCACACATAATCCCGTCCTTTTAACAAATTTTATTCAAATACATTTTGGACAAATTTCAATTTTACCCATTTAACATATTTCTTATTTAACCGGTTTTTTTTAATGTTAACAAATTGATTGGAATATGTAGAAAAGACCTGTTTTTTTTTTTTTTTTTTTTTTTTTTCATGAAAATATAGAAAACAATGCTAGAAAGCTTGTACAATTTCATCTCCTTCGGTCCATTTCATCTCATTTTTTCCATCTCTTTTAATCCAGTTTCATTCGGTCCTATCCAAGCACTTATCATCTAGCTATGTTATGTGTAACAAACTCCTCCTAAGGGAAGACGAGGTCCTAAATGATTTGGGCGATGGGATGGGTTGGTACCGTGGGTATTGTCGGCAAACCATACATTTGGTGTTCAATGCAATGATGCATGCAATTTGAAGATAATATATTTTATGTATCAGGTGAGGAAGACCAAGGAATACCAAAGCCACCATTTTATTGTTTGCCTTTCTTCCTTCTTTTTTTTTTTTTTTTTTAATAAACAATACAAAAACATTTATACAAACAATACCAAAACATTTATCATTTCAGTTAAATGTTCTTTTTAATATTATTTTAGAGTTTTTTTTTAACTATCAAAAAACTTTTAAAGAAAAAAATGATATGTTTTATTTTATTTTATATTTTCTAATTTAATTAAATAAAAAATAATGATGTGGTAAATGGGTTGATTGGATTGGAAAAAATAGAGTTACCGTGTATTATAGTTTGAAAAAAAAAATGATGTAACAATGGGTTAGTGGGTTAGGAGGGAGATCTATCTAATTGTGAAGTAGATGTGATTTTGGTTTTGATTTAACTTGACTCAAATTGATTTGTGGACTACTATAATTTAAAGGGTTAATTACTAATCTAGCCAAATTAATAAAGTAATTAATCATTTTTAGCCAAAAATTAGGAATTATCCCAAAATAACCCACAAAACTGTAGGTATTTTGAATCGTCTACTACTTCGCTAATTCGTTTACTGTTTCGTGTTTAGTATATAAAAAAAGTCATTTTGAAGATATAAAACTGTAGGTTTTTTTAAAACCTACAGTTTTCTCTCTATAAAACACGGTTTCCAAACCGTAGCTTACGGTTTTGGGTTAAATCTACGGGTTATTTTTTTTTTTTAAATGAAAACTACGGTTTTTGGTTAAAAAGCTAGGGTTTTATGCATTGTGGACTTGTACAAAACTACTCCTAATCAACAATATGGTAAAATTTTGATTAAAAATGGACGTATCTCGTTGTTCTTCGGATGCTCTATTGAGAGAAAATAGTAGACAATGGAAGAAAAAATGAGGAAAAAATAACCTAAACTGAAAAATAAGACATTATATATTATGTGCCAATGGGTCACAAAATAGTAGACGGATCACGAAAGAGTAGTCTATTGCGACAAAATAGTAGTTTTCAGACCATAGTCAACCCCAACCTATCTACTATTTCGTGGGCTAGTTTTGGTTAATGTGTTTTTTTTGGCTAATTTTAAATAAGTAATTAGTATATTTGGCTAATTTTAAATAGGTAATTAGTATATTTAGCTAGATTAGTATTTTCCCTTATTTAAAGGTTTGTTTACTTAATATCTCTTTGGGTTATTTATAGAAACTATGTGGTCACGAAAAGCAAATGTACAAATGTAATACTTTGTTTACCAAATATACAAAGTTTGAGAAAAGACACTTTGTAGACGGCTAAAGATGGTTGAACATGTTTGATGTAAAATGGATTGCTTAGAAGACATATTATTGGTATGAGAATATATTCGTGTCAAAAAAAAGGAAAAAGCAATCTTGCTGAATTTATTTATCATAAAATCGGGCATATGTCAGAATAACAATCAAACGAATAAAAAAAAAGCCAAACAAAACAGTTTACTTTATGAACCCTAGCCCCTTAGGTGACAACATATCTTGTCATCTTCACCACCAACACCCAGCACAACAGATAAATTAAACATATTTTTATATTAAAATAGTTTTTTTTAAGTTATACTTTTATTGTTAACATTATATTATTTTTTCAATAATACTTTTGTAACAAAGTTAGATATTAAATATGTATGAAATGTAAAAGATAAGAGAAAAAGATGTCAGAAAGTAAACACAATGGAAGTCGAAATAAACGTGTTACAATTTAATGAAAACAAGCTATATAATAATTGTGTGACCTGGAATCGCACCACCCTATTACATGCTATAGTCGTTTGTTTTTTACATTCACAATAATAATAATAATAATAATAATAATAATAATAATAATAATAATAATAAGTAAATGAGTTGAAGGGTGAAAATTACTTACTGCCTCAGAAAGAAAGAATAATGGATGGAGTGCCTTGCCTAGCGAGTAACTAAACTCAAACTACCAAGCTCAAGCTCAAGTCTCAAGTCTCAAGTCTATATATTTATATCATATCATATCATATCATATGTCCCAAAATACAAAAATCGACGCGCTTACAAAATTACACCACGAACAGGTACCTACACAACAAGGGCTAATTAGTATTATATGGTGAGAATAGGTGTTAATGACATGGTGTAGTGTAGTAGTATATACAAGAATTATTTAACCTCATATATATACCTACCTGAAGAAGTTGCATAAAGCAGGAAACATCTTTAATCGACTTGGTGACGTGGTGTAAGCACTGCAAATTCAAATATGAATATGAGATGGTGAGTGTGAGTGTGAGTGCGAGACAAAACTAAACAAATACACTGCTTCTAGTAGACAGGAAATATATGAAATCAACAATGATTGATAACCCTTTAAAAATTCTATGCACATTCAAGTGTGAGGTTTGTAATTGTGGAATCTGTTCTCATTTAGGGAAGTTCCTTTTAGGATGATATATGCAAATATATAAGGGTCTTTTTGGTATGATGGGATGGAATCACAAAGTAAAGCAAAGGAATGGATCATTACATTCCGTTATCATATTTGGTTGGCTTTAACTTCAAGGAATGGAATGTTTCATTCAAATATGTTTGTTAGTCACTGTTAAAAACAACGAAATTGAATTTGATAAAAAGAGGGGAAAATGTTATTTTTAATCAAATAAAGATCAGTAAAAAATTAAATGTAAACATGTTTCTGATAGTGAAAAAAGTTTACTAATCATCTTAATTAATTGTTTACAAAAATAAGAAATTAAATACCATGAAATCTTCCAATAGGAATAAATTTAACTGAACTCTTGAATTTTCTTAAAAAAATATTCTTGTTAATGAAGACCACACAGATAAAAAGTAATTATCTAATAATATATCACATAGAAAAGAACCCTCCTCATGGAATGAAATTAAGCCTAGGAGAAGGAATAGCCATTCCACTCCTATGAGGCAAACAACCATGATTTTTTTTATACTACTGTAAATGTAATGTTGAATTCCATTCCCTTTTGGATTACTGCATACCAAAGACTTGATAAAAGTTATTTGATACGATTACGAGGAGTGGAGTTAAGTTGGATTTGCTGAAAGATGAGGGCAATTAAGAGAAAATTCAATTAATTAATCACCAGCAATAAAATTAGCCCCAACCAATTGCTTTTAGGCTGACGAAGTTGCTGCATTATTCGTACCCCACTCTTCTTCTTCTTCTTCAGCCTCGTTACCATTAACGAAAACTGCCCCATCTGAAGAATCGTTATCCATTGCATTTGCATTTGCATTTCCAGCTGCTGCACTTTCTTCTTCTTCTTCTTGACCATCAACATATTCCCCTTCATTTCCGTTTCCTTCTACACCCTCCTGTATCATGAAAAAAATGCCTTTTTTTAAATTGGAAAAACAACAAGAGCTGTTTATTTAACAGAACAGCAGAAAGTTACCTCATGATCCAACTCTCCGTTTTCATGTGGTTCATCATCATCCAACTGCATGTGTTTAAAAATATCCACAAGATTCACATGTGATCTATCAACATAATTCACATACTCTTCTGCTGGAGGGTAACTACTCCTGAAAATATATTTAGTGGAAACACAAACACTCTTTAATTTTATATAATATTTAAATTGTGTCATATATGAAAGTTGCACATAATAATAATTATCGAACTCAAGTTACAACATAAGCAAACAGAACAGAACCTTGTTTCTGTAGCTCTTTCTTCAACTTCAAGTGCAATTTGCCAGTCCTCAAACATATTTGGATACTCTTCAGGATCTGCTAATGATTCTGCTGCTTTCTGATTAACCTGCATTTCAATTTCATAATTAAAAATCTTTCAAAAACTGAATAAAATGAAAGAAGATATTAAAAGACTAACCTTGTTAAGGTCTTTTCTCCAAAGAGCAACTATTTCTGAAACCTTGCTTGGAAGATAAGACCGTGCCATCAGAGCAGCCTCGGGTATCCGGTTGCTGAAAAAAAAAATAGAAAGGGTATTTTGGGAATTTCATATCATGTTCATTGCCCAACTTTCATATTCATTGATGTATGGAAGGTGAAAAACTAACCTGTCCACCAACAACTGTAAACAGTCTTCCAATTTACCCAGCATAAATAGACAAGCAAAAGCAACATTGTTTTTTCCATTTTCTTTTGCAACAAGTGCAAGTTTTGCGATCTCTTCAGCATCTCCCAGAGAAGAATACAGCAAAAGCAGACCACTTAAATCGTTTGCATGTTTCAAACAATCTTCAGCCATTTCCAACTGCAATGTTTTCATATTACTATTATTTTAGATTTATTTACCTAGAACCAAAGGCAATAATAAATACCAAAATTGACACATACCAGTCCAGTAGACATAGCTAATTCACCCAACTGCTTCCATTTTGACTCACTTTGTGCTACTAGTGCAATATCCTATATTATACACAAAAACAAATGTTATCATTAATTATGATTCATAAACTCAAATATTGGTATTATATCTTTAGCTTACCTTTGCAATCTCTAGTTTACCAAGCTGAATGGCCAGTTCAAATCTATAATCAGGATCTGTAGCAACTTCTAAAGCTTCATCAATCATTCCACGTGACTCCAAGAAATGAGCAACACTATCGAACAAAAAAATCATATATTAAATTTTTTTTATTTGTCTCAATTCTTAATATACTAAACTATACCTGTTATGATGCTCCTTTGGAATTGAAGGCAATACAGCACTAGCTTTGTCTAGGTCGCCACGCATCACAAGTGTTTTATACTCGATCAAGGTGAGCAGCAATGTATATCCAATGACACTAAAATATAAAAAATGTTAAAATTGAGATTATATATAAAAAGAGTAAATTACATTTTTGTGTTTGCACTTTGCACCCTTCCTGAGTATAGCTGGGTTTTTTCAACTTTTGGCCCAAAAATTTCTCTTGCAATTTTGGTCCTAATATTTGGTTTTCATTTCCTGTTCCAAGTAAAATGACTATGTTTTTTGGGACCAAAATTGCAAAAATCAGCTATACTCAGGGACATAAACCATTACAAGAAACTCAAATAAGGACCAAATTTGCAAAAGAAAACTCTTTGGGGGCCAAAATTGCAAAAAGCAAATGTCATTTACTCACTTGAATTCCTTGTCAATGAGAAAAACCCTGCTTTGATTAGCTAGATATCCTAGGAGATACATTGGGCGATCCAAATGAAACATTGTGGTCACCTGAAAAAGAAATATTAGATGAATAAATAAAATCTGGATGTTTTTAAGGTATTATGAAAAGTATTGATGACAAATCATACCTCGCCACCAACACAGTAATTGAGTCGCCATGAAGAATTAGTGTAAATAAAACAGTCACCAACCCACAATCCAGTTCTAACTCTTTCGCTCACTTCATATAGAAGTTTAAAGGAATCTTCAATACCTTGCTCATCTACAGATCTTCCACTGTCTAGATGTGCAGACACTACATCATGCTGTAAATATAACCAAATTTATAATTATTAATTGTAACTTTTATAAAACATAATTACATAAAGAAAAACACGATAACATATTGTGTATCATGGAATTGGAAAAAGGACCTGTTTGTTTACCCAATGGAATGGAATGGACCATTAAAGAAGTGTGATTTCTACCATTTTGTTAACTGGTGTTTTTTTGTCATTCTATCATGGAATGGAATGAACACTTGCAATATAAACCATTTTTAGTTATGTAAAGTGTAATTTCTAACGACCAAATCTTTTTGAAAATTTCATTATTTTAACTGGATTGCTATTTTATTCATGAAGAAATAACTATCAAATAATATTTTTAATTATAACATACTTAGGTTTTAATGAGTTTTAGTTAATGATAATTAAAATAATGTATAGAATAGAGTGAAAGTTAATACATTGTATTTACATATAAATGCACAAAATTCATTCTATTTCTATAGCCCAACCAAAATATGATCATGGAATGTAACGACTCATTTCATTACCCTGCCCATTCCATCCAACTAAACAGGCCATTAGGGGGTGTATAAGGATCTTACATTGTACTGTAATATATAGAATGATGAATCACTGGAAATTGCTAACATATCACCACTGTCTGCCCAGTAAAGGTTCTGGAGTATACACAAAAATATTAGAAAATCACTCATATGTTCATGTTGTTGACATCTAATTAAAGAGGTACAAGTTGGTTACCTTGACATTGACATCAATCCTTTGAATCAATCTGCACTCAGCCCAAATCATAGAAACATATAAAATCATTTGAGCACATTGCAAGCAATGATCCTCCATACATGCGTTCAGCAGAAAATGTTGGTCGGATACTCTTTTTTTCCTGTTTATAAAGAAATATATCCAAATAAACAAATGGGGACACATTTTGGCTAATTCACAAATGTAAGGATATGCGGTGGAAGAAAGTCACAAACCTGAAAAGATTTGTTAAAAATCTTGATCTTAGTTGTGCTCTCTCTAACAGCATATTCACCATCAGATGACCAAACAATCTCCAATGCAGACCCAAAGGATCTGTTTCTCCATGCCAAAGCTGTATATATGATGTATTCACCATCACCACACACAACAACAAACCTCCCATTTGGGTTGTGTTTCAAGCTCTGTAAACAACACCAAAACATACAAAGATTAAAAAAAACAACGACCAACTTACCCTCATACTTCAGTAATTATAAAAAATGGTCCTGGTTATCTCATTTTCAATTGGTAGGAAGCTAAAAGAAACCATATGCACAACTCACTTGTGGGTAGAGATCACATGTTCCCAATTCTTTAACTCCTAAAGGCAACCTCTCTCCATCGGAGACCTGAGAATGAAAGAAAAGAAGGAAGTTACAGTCATTTTGAAAGAAATTTGAATACGAGAAAAAACCCTTTTTATTTTATTTTTGAATAGACAAAAAAGCATATGGACACAAACCTCAAAATCAGCTCCCACACTCTTAATGTTAACAGTTTGAATTTCATTATGTTTAGCCCATATAATTTTTCCACTGTTATCCATGCTAGCTACAGGCTCTTCCCTACCAACTTTCACCATTATAGTCCCTTCATCATACCCAATAGCAATCCTGTACAAAAGGATTGTAATAAAACAAGGAAAAATTACAAAATGAGTAAATAAAAAAACATTATATTTTGGTCAATTTTGTCGTTTAACCACCAATACTTTAATTTTCCAATCAAAACATAAATGTTTCAAGGGTTTTTCCAAATTAACCCTTTGAACTGTTATATCAGGTTTCACCAGTAATTTTGTTATATCAAGTTTCACTGGTAATTTTCCAAAATAAATATTTTGACTTGTTACATCTGATCAAAATTGTTAATTCGAAGAAAAGTCTGAAACATTAAGGGTTTGATTGGGAAAAAAAAGGTATAGCAGAATTGTCCAAAACATATTGACTTTTTCTGTAGTTTTCCAGGAATGCAAAAATAGTCAAGAAACATACTTACCTTCGTGAACCTTTCATGTATCCAACAGCCCAAACCCTTTCGAGTCCATAATTCAAAGTATTCTCAAGTCTGCACAAAAATAGAAATTTGTGAGTATTTTCAGGAAATGTAGAAAGAAATAAACTCAACATGACAAGAACTTAACTTTAGAATTACAAAACTTTGAATATGATACACTGACTTTACCAGAAAAAGAAACTTGTACATTTAGGGGGTGTTCCTTTTTTACTTAATTAGCTTACTTGGTTAAGCACTTAATCTGGACACATGGTTGTTTCTTTTTTACTTAACGGTTTAAGCCCAAAAAACATGGCTTAATGTATTACTATTAAGACACAAACCCTTCACCTATTTACCCTTCTTTTTGGCACCCAACTCCTCTTGTGTTAAAATTGATGAATATTGTGAAAATTGTTTGTTGGAATGTAAGGGGAAAATGGCCATTGATTTAGTTGCAATGTTGCATTCAGACAGTTTATTCAGTCTAGAAAAGAAAGAGACCTTATGTATACACTATACAGTACTTCATCCAGACCAACATCATTACTCATTCAGCCACTTTCCCCATTTAGGACTTAATGGGATTTAAAAAAAAAAAAAAAAAACAGCCCCCTAGTGATGCGTATTTTTAGTTTAATGTAAGTATAGAACCAGAACATACCTATAAGTAGTTGAATGCCATATACGTACAGTACCATCCTCAGAACCTGTGATTATTATTGGCAGCTCAGGGTGAAAGCACACAGCCGAAACATTGTGTGTGTGACCTTCTAAAGTCTGAACACAAGTTTTGGTTTGATAATCCCATACCTGTTTCAAATATTCCAGTATGTATGTAAGTCCAGATTATAAAACGTTATAAAAGATTAAAAATGGTGAAAGCACAATGACATAACAGACCTTAGCAGTGTGATCATCTGATCCAGTAATTAGATAAGGCTTATCACCACCCGTGAAATAATCCACACAATTCACTCCTTTGAGATGGGCATCTAGTGTAAAGTTAGGATCAGGAGACCCAAGATTCCATATCTGAAAAATAGGAAAAACAATGCTGCATAAATGTTCTTATTAAAACTTATAAAAGCATCCACAATGGTAAACATCTTGAAAAGCTTTTTCTTTTTGCCATATCAGCTTTTCACTAACTTTATATAACCAAAACCTATCTTTATAAATCTTCTCCAATTGAACATTAATCCTCATCTATTTGGAATGCTTTATAAGCCCCCCTCCTCTAATTTGTCGTTTTTAAGCAACTTGATGCCATTTTATTAAGGTATATGGGTGTTACTGTGATCAGGTATGGAGTTATAAAAATGAAAGGCAATATATATATATATATATATATATATATATATATATATATATATATATATATATATATATGATTGCTTGGTGTCATTTTGATTGTCTTGATGAATGTTTTTTAATGATATTTTTTCTATAAGAAATATTCATTCTTATTTTGCATGTTTAATAAAGGGAAAATTACAGAAAACCACTATACTTTAGGCAATTTTGCGGTGTAACCACTTATATTTATTTTTTTCCAATCAAACCATAAAAGTACTAGATATTTTCTAAATTAACCAGTTTGACCAGATATAACAGTCAAAAGGGTTAATTTGGAAAAATGCCTTAAAACTTTATGGTTTGATTGAAAAAAATAAAGTATTAGTGGTTAATCTGAAAAACTACCCATAACACAAAGGTTTTTTGTTTAGTAATTTGCCCTTCAATAAGAAAATAATTACTCAAAAATCACTAAAGATTTAAAATTAAAACATAATTAGGGGTGATATGAATATGTTACTGAGATGAGGGAATGAAATGTAAAACTACAAAGTCTACAATAGACCATTAAGTGGTTGGAGAATAGTAACAAAAAAGTGTTCCACTCCAATGGTATTAAGTGTGATTATGCAATAGCAAAAAGGCTATAAAAAAAACCTCCCATTAGAGATGCTCTAAGATTACCTTTATGGTGCGATCAAGTGATGCACTGGCAAAAGTATTGGTGTCTTTAGGATTGATTGTCACTTGCATGACATAATGGGAATGTCCCTCAAAGATCTGAGTACAATACCAACTCTTTTCCCAGTCCCAAAGCTTAATAAGCATATCATCAGAAGATGAAAGTATATATGGGAGGGTAGGGTGGACAGCCACACACCGAATGTAATCTGTATGTGCCTCAAATACTTTGACTTTATCCATTGTATTGTAATTGTACACACGGATAAACATGTCATCTGCTCCTGCAACAACCCACTGCTTGCGGGCTACAAACTTTGCTGATCTGACTGTAAACACATTGTGTAAGTAAGCATCAGATGTTTGAGTTTAATTTCCAATCATGCTGAAACTGTGTATGGAAATATGTATTCTGACCTGGTAATTCAGTAACCTCAAAGGATTTTGCCATAGCCTGCGACAATGCATATGATATGAGGCTTTACATTAGATGATGGTATTGGAACTTGTATTATAAGAAAATAATGGTAAAACAATCTACAAACATATATGAAGGAGTTTGATCATTGACCTATACAAGATGCTTGTTTTTCTTCACTAAAGATAATTATATCACCTTTTTATATAATTAGTGATGCTGGCTATTTAGTCTACTATGTTACCACAACCAAACTTTAGTTATTGAAATATTAGTCACATTATACTTTATAGTGCATCAAAATAAACTGCTACTCGATATCTATTCATATTGCATGTTTGCAGCAATATCTTTTATGAACTATGACCAAAACTTTGGTTGCATTTCCACTAGGTATTGCCAACTATGCTTTTGACTGAATATCTATAACCTCAATGTTATACCAAATGATACAATATCAACTCCATTTATGATGGACGGGGACAGATTTCTATATGAAAGGAATATGTTAAGCCCTATATTCTGGGATTCAGCTGTATCAACTGCGTTGATAGTTGATACTTTATACAAGAGAATATACATCTTAAAAACATGAATGTCTGTTTGATTTAGATGGGACGATTGAATTCTATATGCAATTAGGAGTATCCTGTATTTTAACTAGAACTTGCCCTTCCTTTAAATTGTTGATATAGTTTCATACCTGAGACTGGTAATCCCAGATGCAGACTGTTCCTGAATACAAACTTGTGAGGATCCTGCAAAAACACAAGTACCAGTGTCCATTAACAGATTAATCAAAAACCACTTGAATGAAGTTCCCGGCAGCTGTAATCCGTGCCTAGGTATGCTGGATCTTTCCTAACAAAATGCACGACTATTTGAGATTTACTCAATTACAAGAAACAGGCATACTTACCATGGCTCTGTTGGATGCAGATCCACGGATTTTACTCTTTCTGATCTTTGAGCAAGTTTCCTCTGCAGAAAATGCTCCTCATTAACATGATTATCGAGTAAGTGTCTAAAATTAACAACAAAATTAATCCAAATTGTATAGCTAAAAGTACCTTGATCTCGAGCCTGAGAGGCTGCCCCAAAGCGGAATACACATAAAACAGATTGAAGTTTCGATTAGTAAATCAGATCCGAGTAGTTTATTAAATCTCATAAGTAAATCAAAACAATGCTCCAATAATGTGATTGGATCAACGATCATATGGAAATAGATTTGTCACTGGATCTAAATCATAATTGAACAAAATGCAAATCAAGCAAATACACTGCAAACTCACCATTGTTGAAGATTAAAATTTAGCCTCTTGATTGGAAATCCGTGACTGAATCCTGAACCCTAAGATCCCAGTGGGAGATCCGGCAAGACAACTCGAACAGAGAGAGAACTAGACCGAATCTCCGTCCGAATTGAGAGATTTGAAGGCCTTCGAGTGTCGATTTAGATTAAGATCCAGAGGGAGGTTCTGCTCCAATGATAGCAACCTCTGTAAATGGTGAGAGAGAAAGAGGGTGGGGTTTGAAGATGCAAAGAAATGTTGAGTTAGTACTCGATATGCGAAATGCAACGACCGATGCTTCCTTCTTACGAAATATTTTCCATGTTTCTTAAAGCTCAAACGAAATTACCGTCGGTTGATTTTTGGGAGATAGATGCAACTTGAAAATAACGGATTGGTATGTTAATATTTTTATGTAATTAAAATTAATTAAAAAAAAACAATGTATTGTCTTTTATTTGTGATAGATTTTTTCTTTCAAAAATAGTTTAACCTCCAATATAGGGGTGTTTGGGAGTGTTTTTTAAACTAGAAAAATGTTTTTAGATAAAAATATTTATTTGTTTATAGTGATGGTAAAATGAGATAATAGTTTTTTATATTAATTTATCATGTAAAATTGTAATGATTTTGCACCATTTTATAACATCTACTAAAATTGTATCATCTAATGACCGCAACTTGCAATTAATGTGGGAATAAAATTAAATATAAGTATTGATTTATGTTACTTTAACGGCATCATTAACTAATTTATAAATTACTTTTGTAAGGTAGTGCAAAGGTTATGTTAATTTTAGCTATTATTATTGTTAATGGTTAAGATTTAAAAACCATTTATTTGAAAAAAACTCAATTATATAAAAAATTAGTTTAGATATTTTTAGAGAATTTGACTTGTCGATTTAGTTTTATATTTAAAACATTTAAATGTTTTAAACTATTTTTAAAAAAAAAAATCTATGAACATTAAAATTTCACATTTAATCTTTGAATATATATATATATATATATATATATATATATATATATATATATATATATATATATATATATATATATATATATATATATATATATATATATATATATACATGTGATGAAATAAAAACGATTCTTTTGTAGTATAATATAGATAATTTGTAGGAATCAAATCCCTAGTACAGATAAAAAGATAGTTGATAGGAGTCGAGTACCTTACGCTTCAGATGTATTATTGATCATGTACTCTATGACATGTACTTGACCTTATGTGTCCTTTGCCTTGAGCATGGTTAGTTGCTATCAGGTAAATCCCAATAAAACTCATTAGACAGGGGTTAAGAACATCCTTAAGTATTTACGGATGACGAAGGACATGCTTATAGTCCTTGGTGGCAGTGATATGTTGAGAGTGAGTGGGTACAGTGATACCAACTTTCAGACAGATAGAGAAAACTTTCGTTCTCAGTCGGGCTGGGTGTTCATTTTAAATTGTGGAGCAGTAACTTGGAAGAGTTCCAAATAGGACACGGTGACTAATTCAACCTGCGAATCAGAGTACATAGCTGCAAGTGAAGCATCAGAGGAAGCGACTTGGTTGAAGAACTTCATCGGAGATCTTGGAATTGTCCCAACCATTCAGGAGTAAATGGAACTTTTCTGCGATTATGAATGAGCGGTTGCCTTGACTAAGGAACCAATAGATTATGGAAAGTCTAGACATATCGACAAAAAGTACCATTACGTTAGACGTATGGTAGAAGAAGACCACCTCATCGTGAAGAGGCTATCATCAGACGAGAGTCCTATAGATCCTTTGACGAAGGCTCTGAGTAGGGTCAAACATAGTCAACATGCTAGGAGCATTGGTCTAAGAGATGATGTTAGTTTTAGTAGTTTGATTGTTAGTTTGAAACTTGTAACAAAATAAATGTAATTGATTTTTGGTGATTAAATAATGGAGAATTGTTTATAAGTTTGATTATTGCTTCTATCGATTGTTTATTCTTGTGTTTTGTTTGTATGTTTTATGATTATTCAAATTCCATGGTCAGTTATACTTTTGGAAGTAAATAGTGAATTAAAACTATCATGAATTGGATTATAGATTGTCTAAGGGAGTTAGACATAGCAATAGTATTGTTGCAATGTTCATGAGTACTAAGAAATGAAAATTTAAGTATTGGATAAACCCACGCTCAGAGAGTTACTTCATGGACTCTATCACGAGTAATTATGAGACAGTAATATATTATGATCTTGAAACAGAGATACATGTGTTGTAATTTACAAGTCGGTTATACATCGATAATGCATAAAACACATCAGTAACTTGATATTATAAAATGTGTTGTCATGCATGATTTGATGAGTAAAAGATGCAATCATATGAGTTAAAGTTTATTTGTTCCTTTTGCCCTAATGGAAAAAAGTGATATCTTTGGGGCCCTCAGTGATTTGGTGTTGACTTATAGTGTTGGGCTCAGTCAGGACTAAATTGATGTGTTCGATTAAAAGTCATATATCATCACAAATAAGAAACTGGGAAACAAAGTTTTGGACAATGAGATTGATTATATTCCATGTCTCATGTCCGAATGATATATTGCAGAATGGATGATTATATGATCATTTATCTTAGGACGCGTAATTGATTGGGTTAGAGTTCGGCAATGGCTTTTGGAAGCTACAATTTGTTGATCAATTCAAAATTTGTACTGTCAGTTATAGTTACAGACTTATCTGAGTGGGAGACTGATGGATTAGGTGTCTAAGCCCATAACTATAATTGGTATATACTTGAATTGATAGTAGCATGGTCCTATTGGGTTGCCATCAAACCTAGCAATTAGACATGATGACTTTTAGAGATAGATTAATTTATTATGTGATTAATAAATTAAAATAAATAATTTATTAATATATTATGAAAATAATATATTAATTAGAAAAGTTATTATTTAATTAATAACTTATCAGAAATTAATTGGAAGTAATTTTGAGATATATAGAATTAATTAAAAGTGCAGACTCAGAAGTGCAATTGTTCAATAGTTGAACACAAGGCTCTAGAACCTTCCACCATAAGGGTAGACGATTTTGAGGGATGTTTTAGGGTTTCTAGAATATTTCATGTGGATAAATAAGGAATGGGATAAATAGCATATTTGAAATATTAATATAATATTCAAATATGGGTTATTTAGGGTTTCCTTTGACCACTATATAAATAACATTAACCCTTGCATTTTTGGTCACTCATATCTCCATATAGATAGCCGAAATTCTCCTCTCCCCTATTCCCTCTCTCTATAGTCTTCCTTCTTGCAAGTTTGGATGTGAGATATTATAGGCACGACAATTATGGAGCTTGCTTCCAAGAGATCTACAAGTGAATGATTCTTATTATTTACTATAATAACAATAAGGTATGTAATCCTAACCCCTTCTTTGGTATTTTTGAAAATAACCTAGGGTTTCTTATTTGATGTTCATAGTTATAGGTTCAATAGTTAAAACATAGATCCTTATGTCGCATGTGAACTTAAGGGTTTTAAGTTCATTTGTTTTACCTAAATCCTATCACAATACTTTACGTCACCACTTGCAGATTGCTAATGAATGCATAACTATATGAAATCATTGGTGAGATAGACAGTCAAACATGTGATCCCACTTTATAGCCACAACCAAACAAGGAGCATGCAAGAAAAAGCTTAGATCAAGAGTTCTTATGATATCCTACATGACTGCATACAACCGCTAGGGCACTCAACTAGATGACCCCGACCTCCTAGTACTTTAACCAACATATTGTTGGATTAGGTGTCTAAGTACATAACTATAATTAGTATGTACTTGACTCGGGAGTAGCATCGTCCATTTGGGTTGCATATCACCAGGACAATTTGATAGGATAAACTTTTGAGAAGAGGTTATTTATGATTTATTAATATATTATAAGTTCTAATATATTAGTATGAAATCATATTATTTAATTAGTATTGATCAAGAATTAGTTTGGAATTAATTTAGTGATCAAAATAGACTAGTTAAATGTAAGGGGATTGATTTGGTAAATCAATCATTCTTATGGTGTGGGCTTATGGTTATTTAGGATCGGCTAAACCAATATGTTAGTCCATGGATAGTCCATGGAGGTTTAACCTATGGATCCTAGGTAATATGAAGAGTCATGGGCATTAGGGTTTACATGGTGCTAACCCTAATGTTGTCACACTATATAAGAATCCCCTTAGCATTCAAAATGGTGCACTAAGTGTTCTTGGAGATCATTGAGCCAATTTTGGTGTTAGGATGTTCTCTCAAAAGTCATCAGTTGTCCAAAGGTGTGTTGTGATTCCATTTGAGGTGCAACACTTGGGGCACTAAGTTTTTAAAGTCCAATTCTACAAGCCACAACCAAGAGGTAACTCTATAACTCAATTCTATGTTGTTTATATCATCTTGTATGCTAGTTGTAGGCTTAATGATTTGGAAACAATATTGCACGTATAATTAAAGAAAAACATAGATCCAAAGCATTTAGGGTTGTATGTGCACCATAGAATGTTGTAGTATACTAAAACCCATAAGTGGTATCAAAGTCTATGATTGTTTTCTATTATTCTTGATGTTTTATTGGTTTTCAAAGTGAAAAATATCAAATTTTCTGCCTTCTTACCAGTGAACTCACGCGAGTCCACTGGGTGACTCACCGAGTCCCCTCATAAAATGGCCAACTCGACGAGTCCAATTCATGTACTCGCTGAGTTTGTGCTCCAGTGGGCAGATTTTTGACTTTTGGCCAGAAATTGGATTAGGATCATTACCCCAAGTTATTTGATTATTGTGTCAATTGAAATATTTGATTATTGTGTCAATTGAAATATTTGATCTAAATGTCTTTTATGAATTCCATAACTTGTCCTCAAGTTATGGAAAATGAAAAGTTTTTCATAAATGTTTTTATGAACTCCATAACTTGTCCCTCAAGTTATGAAATTTCAAGAGTCTCATTTTAAAAGTCATCTTAAATGGTTTTAAGGTCGTCCATAACTTGTCATAAAGTTATTGAACTTGAAAAGTTTTTCTTAAAAACCTCATTAAACTCATAAGTTAAAGGAATGAAAAGTTTTGACAAGTTTCAAAACTTGCCCTTAAGTTTTGGAATTTGTAAAGTTTCACTTATGAATACTTTAATTCCAAATCAAACCCTAGAGTTTTAAAAGTTGAAATTCAACCCTTATACTATTATAATATTATATGTTTAATATATATATATATATATATATATATATATATATATATATATATA